ATTTAATGTTTATTTAGTTTAACAGCTCATGTAAGCATTGGTGTATCAATAAAATAAAATACTGTTCTGACTTTTTTTTTCTTTATGGTAATCAGATCGGGTCACTTCTGTAAACGAATGTAAGCTTTTGAACACCAGAGTTTTCTGTTATACAGATTTATGGAAATTCTGTTTTTTTAGTTTTGCTGTTTCTCAGAAGTGGTGAATAAGATATTTAATTTTAGACTGAGACAATGTATGAGTCGATGAAATGTATTTGATTTATCTTTTGTTTTTGTAATGATGTGTTTTGTCTTTCTTGTTTTCTCTGGTTATTTTTATCTTATTTAATTATGTTCTGTACTTTACTGCTACTTCTATTTTGTTACCTTGGAATGTAAGTAATTACTTCCTGTTTCAAAACCAGTGACCTATTTGTAATTACTTCCTGTAAAGAATCTCCATTTACTGTAATGCTGCAATCTGTGTGCTACACATCCCTGTATAATTGTGTCTTTGTTAGATTAGGTTGTAATTTTGGTTTCCTAATTTAACAAGCCTTATAATAAACACATTACTCCATTACTCCATAAGCCAGATTGCATAATTAAGTCTAACTATGATCATGTTGAACATTTGTTCCAGGACTTATTATGAAAATAGTTTTCATGTAGATTTGGTTTCAGTTTTATTGAGTAATTCTGGGACCAATAAAATGAGAGCTTTCTCATCTGCTCATCAACACTCAAGAGTTTCAGGTTTTTAGGCTGAATGTGTAAAAAAATTAAAAAACGAAATTAAATAAATAGCATTGCTACATCTTTACCAGCAGATGGCAGCATATCCTCAGTTTCTTGCAATAATTAGACTGAAACCAGCAGCTTTTCACTTGGGGATCAAATTGTGATGTATCTCAGTCTGCATCCTACAAATCCATTTTATATGCTACTTTTATTAGACACTCAATTTCATCAGCTTTGTTTAATGTTAAGTGAAGCAACAAAAAATGTAACAACTAAACTGAAGGGAAAAAATGTAGGCCATTTTTATATGATGACTTTTCTTGTTTGTAATTCTGGTGACTGTCTCCAGTAAAGCTGTGGAAAAACAGCCACAATAAAGAGGAAAACTTTTTGACCACATTGCATGAACAACATTTACAACCGAGCATTTGCGCCCAACATGACAGAAGACCTAGGTATGGCGTACACATGTTGACCCCCAGTGCCTCAAAGGAGGAGGATGAGGCAAAGATCTAATTAAGAGGGATGAAGCAGAAACAGGCCCGCACKGCCTCGGGGACCGGCAGGAGCGGATAGTTCAAATTAGACCAGCATTGTCCATTCAGGCCAACCCGTGACCCCTTAGATTTAATTGTGAAGAAGGCCTTCATGGTGTGTTTTGCATCTGTGAGAGGCCATACCACTACCTGCCCAGCCAACAGACTGCTAATCTGAAGCATCCTCCCTTTCTCTCTTTGCAAAGGTAAAATCTGTGACGTATGGCACAAATAAGAAGCTTGTGTTTCTTCCCAGAGCCCTCTCAACAACATCTCACTGTTCTTTTGAGTCTTGAGTTCACGTTTCGCCACGGCTTTGTAAACTTAGCTTGCGCGGGGGTCACCTAAAGGTTGGCGCGGCCCTGTAGCTGCCCATCGACTCGCCGCAGATCAGTTACAATGTAATGGCAAAGGAATGTCGCTCAATCTCGACTACTGCGCTGCGCTTTCGACTCTAATTAGATCCAATTAAAGCCTGGGATGTCATTTTATTTTAGCAATAACACTTAGGGGTTAAAGTGAGAGAAAATACTGTCATCTTCAGTTGGCAAATACTGCAGATTTTTGTTATTTTTTTAGTTACAAAGATGATATATTTAAATTCATACTTTCTTTAGCTCTCAGTAAACCCAAACACACACACAGAATCCATGACATCTACGTCATGCCGTTGCTCCTCGCTCCCCGTGGCGTGTGCCTGTTGAATGCTCCAGTGTTATTGATCCTGATTAGGCCTCACAGGAAGAGATGCCGGCCTGCCATTGACCCACACTTTCTGCATGTTTCCATACTTCTCTCAGATCATCAGAGGCAGCTGTCTTCCTCCTGCCAGCCGCCCGGCGGGCCGGCCGGCCAACTCGCGTGAGGTTCCTGATTGTCAGTTGGAAAGGAGGGCGAGGGGCGGCAGAAGCGAGGGGGTGGAAAAGTTGTAGATTTTGCAAAATCACTAGCAGGTCTCGCCTGACGTTCTTCTGGCTTGGTGACTGTCAAAACATTTCCTACACGCAACCATACCCCTCCTCCACGTTTTCTTTTTTTAGAAAAGCCTCATGGGCTGCTCTCCTCCTCAAGGTAAAACTTCTCTGCCGTGTGGCCTGTCTGCGTCGTTCGGTTCCCAGTTCCCATGAACTCCTCGTAAGGGTCCTTGTTCTCCTCGTCACTGCCGATGAAGCACTTAAAGAGAGACAAGGCCAGGAACGAGTAGAAGACCATCACGAAAAGGATGTAGAAGTAAGCGTTGTCATAAGTGTCCCTGGAGGTGGAGATGGGGCTCAGGGTGGTGTTGGAAGCGGTCCTGTTTGCTTGACACTCGTGAATACTCGCGCCCTCGAGAAGATGACGACAGTGGGCGAGCAGAGAAATAAGAAGACTCCGGTTCGTGCTTTTCATTTCAAAATCAGGGGTCATGTTTGCTCAATTAAAAATGAAAAAGAAAGTGRGGGAATTTAAAAAGCCACAAAGGCGAAGGAAAAGCGGACGGCAGACTGCACGAGAGGGAGGTTCTCTCCACTTTAGGAAAGGCATGCTGTTTGTCGCCCCACTCACTCTTCTGCAGACTTGATAAGGTGGTATTTCAAAGATAAAGCTTCGTTTCTGCTGCAGAGAAAATAAAAAAAGAAAGGGATGGACTCTTTTTTTTTTKAAAAAACCTCCTGGAGTTGTTTGACAGTTTAACCAAGGAATCATATAAACTAGTTTATCTTCATAAAAATTCCTAACATGCAACATTTCTTTTAATATATTTTTAATTCCTTTGCAGCTTAACTGTATGTTTTTTTTCTTCTACCCTTCACTTTTTATTTGCGGGCTGAAAGCTGCAGAGACGCTTGGACTGTTGTCAGCTCCGGTCAAGTAGTCTACTCATTTCAAAGAGTGCTGGGGTCAAAGGTTAAGTTGTCTCCAGTGTGTTGCTGCTTGACTGACACTTTGTTTCAAAGCAGCCCCTTTGGCTTTTTCCCTCAGTGTGTCTTACAAGTTGAGCACTTGTTAAAAGAAAAATAATTAAATTAAAAAAATTATATAAAAGAATAAAGTTCAGAAAAAAACACAAACTAATCGGGAGAAATGCTGCCCAAAAACTCAAAACACAATTCCAAAACTGCACAGAGGCTTGTTTTTAGAGCTGTATGTTGAATGACATGAACAGCTGCACACCTGGTCCTCCAAAAGAGAGAGTGAAAAAACACAGGAGAGAATGATAAAAATGCACTTGTGATTTGTTTAACCTTTCCGAGGACTCTGCCCACTGGGTGAACATTGTTTTCTGTCTGTGTTTGACAGTCRGAGCCCACAGCCGTCTGAGCTGTGTGTGACTGATGTCCCGGTGTGTCTGAGGGCGGCTGTGCTCCTAAAATTTACAGCAGCTCTGCTTTAGTCATTAAAGGGTGTGAAGGAGCCACCGGGGAGTAGGAATTTGTCCGAAAGGAGTGTTTATGAAAGAGGATATATTTATGATTTAGTGCACCCGGAGTGTGTGTGTGTGTGTGTGTGTGTGAGGTACATAGTGAAAAATGAGAAAAATAACGTAAAACACTGCAGTGGGAAAATCTAATCAAATGTCATTTAAATGTTTTCAGGGATTTCAAGGGCTTTCAAAATAATTTTGCTTCGCAGATATTATAAATTATAGTAAATGGTGTAAAGTGTAAACACATTATTTTACTTGAGCTTTAACTTAGATTTTAACTATTTTAGTACTTTTAGTTTTTAGAACACATCAAATCTCTTTTTTTAATTTTCTAATCAAAGTAAATTGCCAATTCAAGAAGTAAATTGTACTTTAAAGTCAAATAATTCTTGTGAATGTGAGAAACTAAAACTTCCMATTTTTATAATTGTTTAGTAATGCACATCATCAGAATAGGCTGAATTTTTTTATATGTTTAGTTTTAAAACAAACTGGTATTAACATTAATGAATAAGTCCCAAAGTACACTTTCAGGATAATATTATGAGCAATCAGTATTTATTTTTTGATATGTTGTCATTCTCCGTTTGGAATGTAAAGCACTCTAAAACTGGCCAAAATGGAATGTTCTTTACAAACATGTTTCTGATTTAAAATCTGAGCAAAAAAATGTGTTAAAAAAATTCTGAATTTTTTAAAACAAACCACAAGCTAACAAAGTTTACTACTAGAGATTCTTGAGTACTTGTTTATTTACATTGCACTATCAAAGTAAGGAAATCGGCTACAGAACTGAAGTCCAAGTGTTTCGTGTTTTTTAATAAGTAAATTAAGAGTTTACACAAACATAAAATCTATGACACAAACTGAAAATTGAAGTATGTTTTTTATTCAAAATCACCAGAAATAACTATTAAATTGGTTTAAATATTTAATATAATTTAACAATTATTCACAATGTTTGTAATTATTATCTCATCAGCTTACTAAGCACTGATGCAAGATGTCAACAATGAATTGCTCATGTTTTTCAATTGCAAATATCCTGTACTTTAAATTTGATATATTTTATGAGGATTTCCCTTATTAATGAATATTAGAAAATCTTTTTGTAATGTAATGTTTGTATTGGTTTCAATTCTGAATATACAAAACCTTATATGAAACATATTAATAAATCTCAATTTAACAGCCAAGCCTATTTTCATTATCATTAAATGATTTTGTTTACTTGATTTTCTTTTATTTTACTCTTAAATATCATGCATGAAAGGATTTAAAACTGTAATCTGGGCTTGCAGAGTTTAGAGATGACAAACGACACAAATTCAAATGTTTAAATATTAGCTTTTTTTTTCAAAATCTTTATTATAAATAGTAATAGTGCTATTTTTTACACAAACCTTGATAATTTCACACCATTGTAAATAAAAAAAATATGCAAAAGAAACATGGGAATAATGAAACATTGTGTAAGACCTTTTTAAGCACAGAGGAGCACTTTAGGAAATGTACAGACAAAACAATTGAACGACACTAAATAAATAAAAACAGGAACTAATTTTTCTGTGGATGGCTAAAAAGTCAACATGCAAAGCAACAACAGCAAAAATGTACTGTGAGACTGAAAATTATGTTCACTAGCGAAGCTTTTTTTTAACAACTTTTTTGTTTGCTATGATTCATTGCTCAGTAAGTTGCCCTGATTGATCAAAGCACACAACCCAAAATGAACAACATTGAAAAGATGGAGCAGGCTTTTGAAGAGATAATAAGAAACATTTGATCCGTGTTCATTTACAGCACATGAGGTATGAATGTATTGCACTTTCTTTGGGTTGCACCGACTCCACTTGACGTCAGTTTTATGCTCTCAATGGTTTTCCTGATGCAGCCACACTTTTGAGCTCCAACTTCATATACATGAGTATGCAGGTAAATATTCCTCTGCTAAGACACTGTGATGAAGACATTCTCAGAAGAGCGTTGCTGTCAAGCACTCATTCCATCGCTGTCTGACCATCCACCACAAGAAAACATATTTTTCTCATCAAGGTAGGTCATAGAAGTACSTCAAGTTCATCAAGTCCAGTTCTACATATGTTTCTGCCACTTATAAAACTCCCATAGAATGCCATGAATATGTGTACCCCACCATTTTTCCCCCCTCCTAAACCACTGGCAATAAAAACAGCACTTGGTCCTTGACTCACAAGCAAAGCAAGTGTCAGGTATCAGAGAAGCCTGTGCCTATATGGTCCTTAATTATTCCACTCGGGCTTCATCGTTGCCATCACTACACCTCCATCCAAACCGGCTCCCCTTCTTGCTAAAATAAAACACGATATCCTTCCACCTCCCCCCACTGCCTGCCTCGCTGTCCTCGGGGCTGGGGAAGTTGGCGAAGGCAGCGGATAGTTGTGCTTTCCAGAGACGAGTGAGCAAACAAGAGTCCACATTAGGGGGCTTCATATAATGAAAGGCACCTGAGGGGGAAAGAGAGAAAATTTGAGATGTTTTAAAATAGTTTATTCATTTCTCATTTGTATATTTTGATGTAATCACAGGGCATGAAATGAAAAGTTTAAAAGAACTTGTATTTAAAATAAATACCTATCTAGGAAATGTAAAAAGGAAATATTAAATTAAAACATTTGTGCCGCATGGCTCCTTTCATGGCCCACCGTTTTTTAGATTTTATATAAATAGTTTGCACTATCATTTATTATTTATTATTATTTAAAAGTTTATTTTAAACATGTATAGTAAACTAGCCATGCCCCAGTGTAAATTTTCAAAAGTATGTTGGTTATGGTTATGCTGGTATGCAGTTATGGATGTAGATTTTTTATGTGTGTTTCTATAGCAATATAGTCTGAAAAGTCATATCTTATGTGAATGTTATTAAATGTTGTCAGTTTTCATTTATCCCCCTAAGAGACCAGACCTTGATTGACTGCAAGGATTCTCAAGACTAAAAAACGCAACATACCRAGTAATTCTCAAAAGTTCAGTATCTTAGTGTTATGTTATTTAAATTTCAAAAACCAAGTTCTGATGGCGAGCAACACTGGAAAAGCAAACTGTACATTCAGATTATTCTGAATATTTGCTTTTTCATGACATAAACAGTTTTGTGCACTTCATGACTTTTTTCCTATATATTTAAGTTGTTTCTTACCCTCTTGGTCACTCGCAGCTTAGACAACCATCAGCTATCAAAAATATTATATACTGTATATAAACTGGCAATTAAGATTTTAGACAAGAAACCTGTTAGATTACATCATTGCCACATTTTTCAAGAAACTGAATAAGCTTAAGGTCAATAATTTAGTCAAAATATCTAATATAACAC